CGCTTGTTACATCCCTCATATATTGTGCTGCGCTTTTTAAAGTTGCTCAGTGATAATGAGCTTTTTTTGGTATTTTTTTATGTTTCTATTCAATAGTTCCAGAAGCTCCTCTTAAACAAAGAGATCTTTGTAATAATGAAAAATATAGGTTAAACTTTTTATCGTTGTTATATATTATGTTACACACTCAGACTAAAAAAAAGAGTCCCTCAAAATGTCAAAGTCAAAAATAGTAGCGTGTATTGCTATTTATGCTACTATTGTCGATTCTGACTAAAGATTTTTAAGAATAAAATATGAATAAAAAACTATATTCTTATGTATTTTTTTCATTACTTTTCTTTCCCTTGAAAGAAAAATAACATAACATTAGCTTATTTTTTTATAATGAAAATCCATTTCATTTACTTATCATTCAATATATAAATTATTATTTATATTATACTTTTTTAAAACATTATTAATTTGGCTTCATGTTTAGTTCTATGACACTGTATATTATTCCTTAATCTGAGGTTATACGTATCATTTTGAACAGTGTTGTATGTCACTATTACATGTCGCCATTTTATAAAATTCCATTTTCCGCTAGCTCTCCTTAGGGTGTGATTCGGTTCAACATATTATTTACAACAAATAGTTAAAGTCTTTGGAGTGTATTTGGCTAAAATAAGTGACGAGGGAAAAATATAGATAGATTACTTTATAAAAAAAACTTTTTAACAAAAAATAAAAACAGACTTCAAAAAAAAACTTTATAAAGTAATAAATAACTGATTGGTAGTTTTAATTTACTATACATACCTAATCAAATATTTTGAAGTCGGTGTGCTTTGCTTTGTATCGGCTGGTTTGAAGTATACACTTTCAAACAAAACAAAAATTATCTAAATCGGTTAATAAATGACGGAATTCTGAGATAGCAAACATAAAAAAACATACAGCACAATTGAGAACCTCCTCCTTTTTGAAGAAGTCGGTTGAAAAGGTATGTTTCGGAATATATTTTAATATATAATAGCAAAAGTCAGTTAAATTAAAAAACACCTGTTTGATTGAAGACTAATTTGTCATACATAAAATAATTATAAATCAACCAAATGTAATTTCTACAGATTTTGCCTTTTGCAAGTATGTTTTTAATTCCATTATGAATTGGTTTTAAAATAAAATTATATTTTGAATAATTACTGTTAAACTAAAAACCCACACCGACTTCAAAAATACTTTTAAAGTATTTATACCACCCTAACTAATGAATTTTTTCTTCAAAACTTATAAAAAAACATTTTTATGTATAATCAAAATAAACGAGTTATTAAATGATTTAAAATATTTATAAAGATATTGTATAAAATTTATAAAAACACTGCCAACTTTCCAATTCCAGGCTGTTACTGAAGTTTACTACACAGAAAGACCCAATAACCAAACTTGCCCTGAACTGGGACTCGAACCCAGGACCTGCGGATGTGCAGCCGTACATGTTCATTAGCCGTACATGCTACCCACTACACAATAATTTAATACGTCAAAAATTAATAATAATACAATATTAACCAATCTATCGGATAATACCGTCAATAATAAGATAATTAAGTGATAGTAGTTTCTGACAAATAGCGATCGATTACATAATAAATAAAGGTATTTACATATTCATTCCTTCCGTCTGTCTATCGGGAATAATCTTAACCGTTAGCCGGGAATCTCGTATTGTGCATATAAATTAGCTATAGTGGATGAATTTTGATCAGTCGCACTATAAATGTTTTAGCTTCATTTATAACATTTAATAATTCGGATTTTACTACAAACTCTTATTATAATAATATTTTTTCAAAATTATATAGAGAGATAATATCTCTATCACAATAAAATTATGGAAAACTATCTCTATCTATATAGAATTATAGATATCTCTATCTTTATAATTTAATGTTATAAAACTATACATTTTTTTTATTATTTTGTTTGAACGTGCTAATCTATGAAACTACTTGTTACTGTTGTTGTTCTATTTCAATGACTGATTTGTGTTTATGAATTTTGAAACCTATTTATTAAGGAAGATTATACTATTATACATATATTATTTTTTGCCAAGCAAGTGATTTAAATAATTAACTTAAGACGTAATAAGTCAATTTTTAGAACAAATTGAATGAATTGGTTTGAAGGAAAATTCCCTATGCAATGTATGGTATACTAGCGTTAGGTACATTTTAATGGTTAGTATGAAATACAAATCTTTGAATTTCTAGGCTTTTCTGTACTATAATATGCATGTATTATATATATAAATCTTCCTCTTGAATCACTCTATTATTTGCTGAAAACTGCATTAAAATCTGTGGAATTGCTTAAAAAATCTAAGCGAACATACAGCGAAAGCGACTTCAATTATACTACGTAAAGAATGATTCTGTACCTACAAAATATACTAAGGTATACCGATTCTGTTATAAAAGAATACAAAAATTATTCTCAGAAAACCTAATATCACGTCAAAAATATATTTTTACAAATAATGCTATGTAGAATTTATTAAATATAATAAAATCTACTTTATATTTAGTCAAATTGTAATTTATTTGAAGGGTAACTTTTGTTTGCAAATTAGATGTTATATTACAGTTCTAATGTTTGTACTATCTTTATCGACTCCATAGCAACAATCAGGTATCTATACAATATTTAAGACCCGCAGAATAAATTGTTTAAATGCTTTACCTCTTTGTATACGAGTATTACTTTACTTTCCATGTTTTAAGTATAATAAAACTAGTTTTTTCTGTGGTTTCATTTGTGCAATAGAAATTTTATGAGTAGACTAGCGACTCACCCTCCCTCCGCTCGGGTTTGTCCCTAGTTACGTTTTAACGTTTAGTATAGATTTCTCAGAAATGAGATATTTTCCCGCAGTAAAAAGTATTCTATATGTTGACCCGGATAACCAACTATCATCATATCAAATTTCATCAAAATCTATCCAGTAGTTTTCCCGTGATGCGGTAACAGACAGACAAAAATTTTAAAAACTATAGATTCTATCTCTGTATCGATAATGAAGTCTATTTCAATTAGATTTCCCAAAAAATATTTAATGTACAGATTTGACTTAGTTACAATTTTATTATATGTATAGATTTCATACATAGTGTTAAAATATGCTGAGTAATATCACAAAGCCGTATTATCTATTGTTTCAATAATTGTAAATCGATTTATCGGTCATTGTTCCTTTTATTACCAAAATCGAATGAACATAGTCACATATGGTTTAGCTTTCATCATTTAACTGTCAACTCATTGTGACAGAAGCATATTATAGTGTCAAAGCGAATAGCTACTTAAGTGTTTAAACTAAGCGATACGATATCTTTTTAAAGTCATTAATACAATAAAAATATTTATTGCAAAAATTGCGACTCACTCTCGCTCCGCTCGAGTTCGTCCCTAGTAACGTTTTAACGTTTAGTATAGATTTCTCAGATATGAGATATTTTTCCGCAGTAAAAAGTATCCCTTATGTTGACCCGGATAACCAGCTATTATCATATCAAATTTCATCAAATTCTGTCCAGTGATTTGTCGTGATGCGGTCACAGACAGACAGACAGACAGACAAAAATTCTAAAAACTATTTCGGATTCGGCCTCTGTATCAAAAATGATATTTATTTCAATAAGATTTTCCAATAAAAATAAAATATAGATTCAGCTATGTAACAATTTTATTATTTGTATAGATTAGGGGATGTTTGGAATCATCCTGTCACAATTTTTTCTAAGATAATTATTAAGAAAAAAGTTTTCGTTTCTGTCAGATTAGTCGCCATTTACTTCATTAACTGTATGGCTTGATGGATTTCAATTGTTCTTTTTTGTTCTATAGTTACCAGTCTACATTATAACGTATCAAGGTTTTATTCAATTACTTTGTACAACCAAAACAAGTTGAGCTCTCTTTCTACGCGTTTTCATATGACACGAGGGTTATATTTAGTGGCTGTAGCATAAATAACTTGTGTAATTTTATTTAGATTTCAAGAAGTTTCTACATTTTTTTGCTATTCTGTGTAAATACTTTATTAAGTTATCAAGCTATGAACGTTTTTTGTTATAATATAAATATATAATTGAAATAAAAATTATACATATTTTATATATTTAATTTTTTTAAAAGAAAATGGAAACGACATAATAAGAGCATTGTCTTATTATATACAATTCTTATATAAAATATTTTGCTTATAAAATACATATTTACATATTACATACAATATTTAGTCGTGTATTGTAAATAGATTCAGTAATAATTTAGTTCGTAACTATCTATATTTTTTATTGATATGCGATTTTCACCACTAACTACAGTATCATTATCGTGAATTATTGAGTGAATATTTAAACTGTAATTGTAGTTAACTTTTAACACTTATTTTTATTCAGAAAATTAAAATACTACTTAGTAGCATAATTAGAGTTTTGCAATGAAACAAATTTAAATTATATATTACCAAATTCGCCACCAGTTAAATTTATATATGAAAGATTGATAAATTACCAGCCATTTCTTACTGTACTTTTTAGTTTTTACTTAAAAAGTTTTCTCAATTTCAAAATAACTTAAACTGAAATCATTTCATCAAAAGAAAATCGACACACAATACACTTTTGGGGATGATTCGCATACTATACACATAAAAAACTTATATGTACATGAATAAAGTTACTCCTTCTCTTCAAAGTTAGTTAAAAGTAAGAGCTTTTAACTAACTAACAAGCATAGATAAAAGTTTAAAGTAAGATATTATTAAAAGGTTTCATATTGCGCAGGAGTGGATAAATGTTATTTTTTAATTAAATAAAAAATATATATATTAAAGGTTTCATTTATATTATTATAATAATTAATATGTAGAAATATCTGTTATTAATAATGTATGAAAAATAATTAAATAAGTATAAATAATACGAATATATTTCAATACTTACAGTGCAAAAGTATCGTAAACTTCACTATCCACCACATTACACAAATAACTATAAAAACTAAACAAAGAAACGTGTGTGGGGTTCGAACCCGTGCGAGTAACTAACCGGCGTTCGTCCGGTGGCAGCGATGCGTAGCGGAAGTTGTTTTTTAATATGGTCAGAATAGGGGGATGTATTTCGATGCAAATATGCATTATTTAATAAAAAACATATATAAATGCTGTGTTTTTTGCACTATTTTCGTAGTACTTTCTTAGATTTTCGCGAATATTTGACATTTTAATCACGGAATTCGAAATTTTTCGAGTCTAAAAATCAAAATGAATCCACAAAAAAATCCGCAAATATAATTTTATATCAAATATTTTCGTATTATTATTAATAAAAGATGAAGTAAGATTTGCATAGTAAAAATTATTTAATATAGTTGCCTAAATAATATATTGATTTAACACTATTATTTATTTTATTGAAATAATATTGTATTACAAATGTTAAATAAGAGTTTAAATTACTTAAAATAATCAAAATTATGTATTCGTTTCTTTACTTCTATTTGAAATTAATAAATAATAATATTATGTTATACATAAAATCAACTCAAGACCTAAGTGTATAATATATACACTATACATACATTTGTATGTATGAATGTTAAATTTTTGCATTTTGCATTACAAATAATTAGTGGAGTTAATAAACTTGTGAAGAATTTAGTTTATAAAAAACTCGTTGGACCTAACTCCATATTATGTTTTAAAACTTTTTTCCCAACATTCTACTCTATACCTTACTAAGTAACTTATTATAAACAAAACAAAACAGCGGATGTCAGTCAATGTCACTAAGAATCTGTCATTTAATTAATATTTATTGGAAGCGCGTCCGGCGCGATGCCCTGTCTAATAGAGTTATATTCTTATACTAGGCCGTATATAAAACGGCCTAAGCAACATTTTAGATAATTTTAAAGTAGTAAAATCGTAGTATTATAAATGTGAAAGTTTGTATATATGTGTGTATGTTTGTTTGTTACTCCTTTACGCCGAAACGGCTGGGTAGATATGGATGAAATTGAGTACATAGGTCTGGAGTATCATATGACCTAAATTAACATATATGTAGGTACTAACTGTTGAGTACCTAGGGAGGCATCCGAGTGAAATAAATATCGCTAGTAATAATGTGAAGATGGGTTATACTTTGGTTTTCTTAATAGAATGATGATATTTTTGTTTTCTTTAATATATCACTTGAAAAATTTTGATTTCCATACAATTTATGGGTTTTTTAACCTTTTTAGCCTTCCAAAAAGGAGAGAGTTCTATGTTCGTTTGTATGTATGTTTTTTTAATATATATATTCACGGATTTCTCGAAGCCGATTTGACCGATTTTGATACTTTTTCGTTTTTTTTGTTTAAAAATCCTTTATTATATTCTATGTAATTTAAAAAGTGGTAGATTTGAGCGGTCATAAATCAGTTAGTACATGCAATTTTGCATATAAACATAATAATTTTTTTATTTATATATCTACTACTTATATATAATATATATTTTAATGTAAACAGTTAAAAAAAACAATACTCGTGTGCTATTAAAATATAATAAAATTTTAATGTTTATTTATTAGCACAAAAACGTATGATGTTTTTTGCGGGATAGACAAAAATAGCGAGATCGCGGTATACATTATGGTTTCTAACTCCGTATTTCTAACCAAATTAGGATATAAATCTATCTTTTCTAGAATTTATTCTATCTCGTCAATAAAAATGATGGTCATAATTTTAATAGAAATAACATTTCTTTGAGTGATGTTACGTTATGTTTGCGCCGTAAACTAATACCTATTTAATGCGTGAGTACGTTTTTTCGGAAGAGATGTAAAAATTGCGTAAATGATAAACTTAAAACGCAAAATTTTATCTAAATACAAAATTGATACTAATTGTTAGAGCCGTTTCCGAAATACACGAAATAATTTTAAATATGTACAATAAAAATTGCTCATCTATACATATAATAAAATTGTAACTGAGTCGAATCTGTGCAATAAATATTTTTTGGAAAATCTTATTGAAATAGACATTATTATCGATACAGATGCCGAATCTATAGTTTTTAGAATTTTTATCTGTCTGTCTGTTACCGCATCACGAGAAAACCACTGACCAGATTTTGATGAAATTTGGTATGATGATAGCTGGTTATCCGGGTCAACATATAGAATTGACATATAAACTTTTTACCACGGGAAAATATCTCATTTCTGAGAAAAAATACAAAAACTGTAATTTAAGAGTATACTAATATATAAAACCCAAGAATTTGGTTTTTGGTCATCTGAACGCATGCGGAGCCGCGGGCAATGCTAGTTTAATATTATAAGATACGTGATAATTGTACTCAATTGTATTATTCACAAAATTAATTACAAAATGGTTGTATAGTGTACATATTTAGTACAAATATCCACCTTGCAAAAATTGAACCTTTTTACGTCCCATTGCTGGGCACGGGCCTCCCTGCAATACGACGGGGATCAGGCCATAGTCCACCACGCTGGCCAAGTGCGGGTTGATGGACTTCACATGTCTTTTGAAAATTTGCTAGGTTTTTTCAGACATGCAGGTTTCCTCACGATGATATCCTTCACCGTTAAGACAAGTGGCAATCATGTTGGAAATGATTCGCACATGAAAATATCAGAGATGTGAGACCCGGTATTTGAACCCGCTTCACTCGGTTTCTCAAGCGAGCGCGTTACCACTGGGCTACCACAGCCCCAGTAGACTAATACATGTTATTATTAAATAGCAATATGAAGAGCTTTTAGCTTTAAGGCAATGGGCTTTCAATTTCTATGGACAAAGGACATATTTTATCGCTTAAAATATGTAACATGAATAGCCGAAAATAGGATACAACAATATTCGAATTAATCGAAAGCTAAAACTTAATAGTCAAACCCTGTTTAGTCAATTTGTAGCGCCACTCGAAAAGCTTCGAATGTAATTAAATTTCTATGACAATGTTTGTGATAAATTCATTGAGTTATGAGATGATGGTTTTAGATATAAGCTAAAATCTAATTTATTGTTGACGATAAAGACACGTTTGGTTTAGTTTGTAGTGATCCTACTTGCTGTGCCAGTGGTCGCGGGTTCGAGTCCCGCTGGGGGCATTAATTTGTGTCATGAGCACGAATGCTTGTACTCCAGTCATGGGTGTTTATATTTATACTATGTACGAGTATGTATTTAAAGTTATGTTTGTGTAGTATATCAACTATCTAGTATCCATAACACAAGCCTTGGTGCTTAGCATACCTCTTATTATTCGCTTAGTCGTTGGTATTGGTCACGTATTTGAGATCCCTGGTTCGATTTCCTGTCAAGGCAAATATTTATAACGACTGTATAAGTATGAGCGGCTGTTGGCTTATGAAGAGTTATTAGAGAGATATTAGACGTCATAATAAACCTCAGTGATATAGTGGCTAGCATGTACGACCATAGATCCAGAATTCTTGGGTTCAAGTCCCGGGTCATTCAGTTATTGAGTATTTCTGTCAAGAAAGTCTTAGTAACATCCCGGAGCTTGGAAGTTTGCGGTGTCTCAACATTGTGCCTCAGAGAGCACGTAAAGCCATCGGTCATGAGACTTAGTGGTCATCCCATCGGAGTATGAGAGAGTATGAGAGTGACAGGAATAGAGAGTGCACTTATGTTGGCCCGCAACTTGTGCACTATAATATCTCAATGAGATTAGCCGCCGTGACCGAATTCGGTCAATAAAACATCATCATCATAATAAACTTTACCAACTTTTTAGGTTTCAAGTGTACTCAGTTCCATTTTATTAGTTCCAAGCTTAAGCTTTATAGAATTTAATCTAATATATTCGTAGACTTATATTTTATCTTAAAAATTTGTATTTTAAAAATCCATACATAACACTTATCTTTAAATTTACCCAAGTCGTGCTATTAACGTTGTCCTAATATTTGAAAATTTGGAAAAAATCTTTCGCGTGACACACGAACTTTGTGGCTTAATAACATAATATTGAAATATATTACATACGTGTTTTTGGTTTATATTTTTTGTAATTGAATAAAGTAGGAAATGAAGCAAAACAGAGGTTAGATAATAAATTAGACAGCGTTGTGACATAGCTTGGTAAAGGTTTTTGCGAGACCTAGTTAAATTACGGTCATCCATTTTAGATGGTACGCTTTTTGCTTTTACATAATATGTCATATTATAAAATATATGCAAAATAAAAAATGGTATTTTAATATCATATATTTTGTGTACGTATTACCCGTCTTCATACAGGCCTTTACTGCAGCTCATGAGTTTTTGAGGAACATTTTTCGATGCTTGATGCATAAGCCTATTGATAAAAAATGACTCAAGTCCGAATCCTAGTTTTAAAGTAAACCGACTTCGAAAATATCTGATTAGGTATCTATTCGAAATGTAACCCCTGTTTAGTTATTTTTTACATTTTAGTGCCTGGAAGTCAGTTTTTTATAGTTTTTATTTTTCCAATTTTAGTGTTGACGTCATAAGCAGGAGATTTGTAAGAAGAAATTTTTTTTAATAACATATTCGATTAAGCAATTTTTTTAAAAAATAATTAAAATTTATTTTAAATATTTATATTGAATATTGAAAAAAGCCGCTTGACCGATTTCCATAAAATTTAAATGGAACCACCTGGGAAGATTATCCGGAACAAAAAAAAATCCAAATCGGTTCAGCCGTCTTCGAGTAACCGGTGTAGGTACATACATAAAAAAAAGTTTCCGGCGAATTGAGAACCTCCTTCTTTTTGGAAGTCGGTTAGTAATTAAATTAAAATCGACTTCCAAGATTTTTTCAAATAGGACTCTAATAAAAGCGTGTTTAAAATCCGTTAATTTAGTTAGCAACATTAACAAAATGCTTTATAAAGATATTTCAATTTAAATATGTTTGTTAGCCTTGAATAAATTTTGAAATTGTTTCTAGAAATAATGTTCAAAATTCTTAGTATAGTTAAAGTTAAGTAATTACTTATTTTGTTATGTGATTCCATGTAATACTTACTAGTTATTGCCGGCGGTTTTGCCTTTGCGTATATGAAATAATCTTGTTCAAATCTTTCCAGCCTTATTTTAGAAATACTCAAAGATAGTGAGAGACGATAAATTAATCATAAAAGATCATTCATACGAGTACTTCTGTAAGTATCCAAAAATATACGATCGACAGGTGGACGGGAGAGGGTCCCGTTTTTACCCTAAGGATGCGGAACCCTAAATATTATACATTAATTAATTAATTAAGCCTTTATTGCTGAAGAACTAAACACAAATATAATCTAATAATATAAATATAAAAAACTAACTTAAATCTAACACGTTTGATTTTCCGGTTAAGTTATCAGGTGTCCTGTGACACATAAGCCTCTTCCAGCTGCTTCCACTCATTTCTTTTCTAGGCCAGGTTTCGCCTTCAAATTTCTTAAGTCATCTATCCATCTCTTTGCCTGTCTTCCTCTTTTCCTTTTTCCATCGCGTGGTTGCCACTCTATTATAATTTATGTCCATTTTTATTATACATTAACACAGAACTAATCAGTATATATAGTATAGATTTTATTTAAAAATTCCCTAGTAAGGTGCCAACTGATTAAGGGACATCGGTGAGGCGTGACGCAAGCGATACGTAGCCGGATATCCGACAGTTCCGTATGCAAAACATTCCTTTACCACTCTCATTGAATTTAGTTGAAGATATATTAGCTTATTAATTTTGACTAGTTTATTATATTAAAATATATCTAACTTTTTTTATTGATAACACGAAAAAAAAAATGGATGACAAACAGGGGAAAAAAGTAATCAAACAGGGGAGAAAAAATGCTGAACTGTTCTTCTTTGTCTATTTATAGATGTATAAATTATAAACTCAGATACGATATGTATCTGATAAGGTAATTCTCAAGTTGTTAATATAATATAAGAAAACGTACCTATGCTAGGAATATTTACTATGGGCTATTTTTTAGTGGTTTTCATGTTTCTTTGAAAAATATCTCATCTATTATGCAGATGACTGAGTTAAAATTATGAGATTTAAATCTGCTATGAGCTATGTATATATTTTTACAAACAGATATGACTAAACAGTGTGGCAAAATCCAACAGAAGTATTTTTTTAATTTCCTTTTCTGTATTTCGATATTTTACATATATATCCGAAAATAACATTAAAAATTTATGTAATAGTATAAAAAATTATTTAAAAGACAACAAAATTGAAAGTGCATAATAATTATAAGACTTCCGCGACACCATTCAGACAAAGAGCGACAATAGCATTCCCAAGGAGGGTTGACGTCGGGCAGGCGGCCGGTCGTAAAACTTTTGCCAAATCCTTTCAGCAGTACAGAAGATGTACTGCACCGACCCCAAGTGATTGGGAAATGGGCAGGGAGAAGAAGAAGATATTAGTTCACTTTTACTGGTTTCAAGAGTGTATTTGAATTCATAATATAACACAGTTATATTTAAAAGTTATATGTATTTCTATACCTTAGTTTAAACTTTTATCGTGATAAAACACCTGTTATTGGCCAGTTTCAACAACAATATTTACTCTTCAAACACTCTACTGCCCTATCGAAGTGAGACGTATATGGTATATCAAATACAAATTAAGAATGTTTCAAAGGAGATCATAACAAAAATGTGTATAGTTTTTTATATGTAACATATTATACAAAATAAGCAATCACTTAGAAATCTGAAAAAAACCCTAAATTTATAATATACTAGATGGTCGAGCTTTAGGCTTGCATTACCCTTGTAAGGTCGCTTGCACAGGGGACATCACTGAGCCGTAACGAAAGCGATACGTCACCGGACGTCCGTCACTTCCGTATACCAAGCATTCCTATACTTTGGTTATGGTTGAAAGAAACAAAATTATTTGTTTTATCTGAAGTAAATATTAAATTTAGGTGATTATTAATTTAAAAAAATCTTTAATAAATTCTTTTAGTTAATATATTGTTGTCGGGCAATATTTTTAGAGAAAACACGTATGTATTCATTTGTATGTATACGTAGGATATAATATTTTAAACTATTACATCCATTTAAAAAAATATTTCAGTATTAGAAAGCTATCTTTAACAGTTCTTGAGTATTATTGCTTATTTTTTTTTTTTTTTTTATTCTTATTATTTAAAGGTCTTTGAATCTCTTGAGATTATGCCAGACCTATCGTATCACAAAAACATATATTCATCTACATAGCTGTTGCTTCCTTAAATATTTTTATCATTTCATTAAAAACTAATTTAGCTTGTTCTGTTACAGGAGTAGCAAGTATGCTATGAAATCTACCAACATATTTAACATTAAAATTAAAATTTTTAATCAAATTATTTCGCAAGGCTTCGCTTCGGGTACACTCCACTAAAATATGTTGTACATCTTCTATGATGTCACAAGTACGACAATTAGCTGATAATGTTTTTTTCATTAAAAACTTAAACTTATTCAGGGGTATATGCCCAGACCGAAGCCTATGCGCCATTACAATTACTTCCCTACGCATTTTACAATTTATAAACCAAGGTGTAGGACGAGGTTGTTTTTGTATAGTACTGTACCAGATTCCTTTAACCTTTGAGACTTCACTAAAGTATTTGATCCAATTATTAAAGATATCAATTTTACATTTAATCAAAATTTCTGTAAAATCCGGTACAATATATATTTCAGATCCAGTCGAAATTGCCTCTTTAGCTATTCTATCGGCTTCCTCATTCCCACTTAGTCCAATATGCGCCGGTACCCATTGCAATCTGACAGTCAGTCCGTTATTAGTGAGAAGTAAAATTTTTCTCATAATTGCATAGGCTATCGATACACCTCTTTGACCAGAGGCGCATCGAGCCAAATGCTGCAGCGCACATTTGCTATCTGATAGAATAACTATATTTTTATTTTCAATGTTATTATTAATATATGTTAATGCCTCTGAGATTGCAAGGAGTTCGGCGGACATAATTGTCACACTTGATGTAATTTTATATTTCTGTTTCACATTGTGACCAGGATCATAAAAAGCTGCTCCTAAACCGTTTGTTGTTTTCGACCCATCAGTATATAATTTATACCACCCTTCATATTTAACAGCAAGCATATTAAGTGTACAGTATTTTAACATAGTATTCATGGTATTATACTTAGAGCCAGTAAAGCCTTCTATTTCAGTAGATATAATGTTTATATCTATGTTAGTTTCCGAGGTATTCGAAACACAAGACTTAATTCTCTCCTCTTTGAGTGAGTTATATACATTTGCAAGTAATGGTTTCTTCTTTTTCTGCCAATAACGGTTTTGACATACCTGAGTCAACTCTTTCAATAAAATAATAGTACTGTCTGTGTATGAGGTCATGGATTTAAGACAGTATTTACTAGCCAAGAAATGACGTCTAATATTAAGTGGAGGGATACTGAGTTCACATTCCATGACGTGAATAGGTGTAGTTTTAATAAATCCACCTATGATACGTAAGGCAGAATTCTGTACACGGTCTAGTTTTAATAAGTGTGTCTTGGCCGCACTATCATATAAAAAGCTACCATAATCCATTCTGCTGCGAATCAATGCAAAATACAATCGACGTAAATGTTTCGGATGAACTCCCCATGAGCTTCCTGCTAATATTTTCAATAAATTTAATGTTTTCATAGTTTTTTCTCTAATTTCATTAATATGTTTATTCCAAAGTAATGATTTATCAATCCACATTCCTAAATATTTAAAGCAATCAACATTCTCAATATTACAATTATTAATTTTAAGGGGAACAAGATCAATTTTTCTCCTTCGAGTAAAAGTACAACATTGAGTTTTCGCAGGTGAGACATCCAAACCGATTTGTTTCAATGTAATCACTACATTATTGAGACTATTCTGTAACTCCGCGTTACCACTAATGAAATTTTTATTTTGTATATAAAAAACAAAATCATCGGCATATTGCAAAATATTTACATTATTTATTCCTATGCATATCTGAGAAGTAACTATATTAAAAAGAAGAGGAGAAATTGGGTCTCCCTGAGCTAAGCCCCTATTAGTCCACCTAATAAGAGGTTGTCCACTTTCACTAGTAATCTTAAGATATGTTCTACTCAAAAAGTGCCACAAATAACTACAAATTTTAACTCCAACATTTAGGTTATCTAAGATTAGAATAAGTTGCTCAACAGAAACATTATTATAGGCATTCTCGATATCTAGGAAACAAGCAAGTGTGGGGATATTTTTTGTCATTCCTATCTGTATATATGATATAAGTCGTACCAAACAGTCCACACATGATTGTCCCTTTCGAAAACCGATAGTTGATGATGATATCACCTTCTTCTGTTCTATAAAATACTCCAATCTTCTTTTCAACATTATATGATATATTTTACATATGCATGAAATTAGAGAAATAGGTCTCAACTTTGGAGAATTATTAGAATTGGTGTTATGTTTTGGTATAGGTACTATTTTAATACTACGCCACTGTTCGGGAACACGAGATTGACTAAATATTAGGTTATACATTCGAAGCAAAAATGATTTACCTTCATTGGGTAAGTTGTATATCATACTGTAAGTAATATTATCATCCCCTGGAGCAGTATCCTTTTTCTTGAGACAATTTTGTAATTCTTCTAATGAAAAATCCTGCTGCAATGCTTCATTGTCCGAATGAAGTGTGGGTTGCGGGTATTCTGCATAATCTGGAGTCAGAGAATGTAAAAGGTCTTTTTTCATACTTTCAGTTATTTGAGAATACTTCGGTTTTACTCCTTTCATCCAACACATTTTGTTCCACATAGTAGGAATGTCCGTAACTTCATCGATTTGTGTACAAAAACCTTGCCAATCATTAGTTCTAGCACGTCGAGTTAATCGTTGAGCATTTGCTATTTTTGATGTAAGTTTATCAAAATTGTTAGGGATAGGATTACGTCGAAATTTTTTTAAAGCCAAACGTCGTTCTGCTATAGCTCGAGACAATGAAGAATCCCAATATGTTTTTGGTTGAAATACCTGACTAGGATTAGTGCATATTTTTTTAAAAGGTATACTTTGATCTCCGGCTTTGTTTATTTCATCTATAAAATAATCATACATTTCTTGAACGTTGTTATATTCAGTGGGGTAACCAAGACTATTTTTCAATAAATTTTGATATTCTTGCCAATTTGCAAATTTGTAATTTCGACATTTAGTAAACGTTACATTACTTTGAAATTCCAAGGTGAACTTAATGATTAAATGATCACTACCTAAATTTTCATTTGTAGTTTCCCACTTAAAATAAACTGCAATATCAGATGTGACGAAGGTAATATCTGGCGAAGATGTCTGTAAAATATTGTTAACAAATTTAATTCTTGTGTGATTCCCATTATTAAGTGATATAAAATTAAAATCTAATAATGCATTTAATTTCTTAAGTCATCTATCCATCTCTTTGCCTGTCTTCCTCTTTTCCTTTTTCCATCGCGTGGTTGCCACTCTATTATAATTTATGTCCATTTTTATTATACATTAACACAGAACTAATCAGTATATATAGTATAGATTTTATTTAAAAATTCCCTAGTAAGGTGCCAACTGATTAAGGGACATCGGTGAGGCGTGACGCAAGCGATACGTAGCCGGATATCCGACAGTTCCGTATGCAAAACATTCCTTTACCACTCTCATTGAATTTAGTTGAAGATATATTAGCTTATTAATTTTGACTAGTTTATTATATTAAAAAATATCTAACTTTTTTTATTGATAACACGAAAACAAAAAAAAATGGATGACAAACAGGTGAAAAAAGTAATCAAACAGGGGAGAAAAAATGCTGAACTGTTCTTCTTTGTCTATTTATAGATGTATAAATTATAAACTCAGAATATGTATCTGATAAGGTAATTCTTAAGTTGTTAATATAATATAAGAAAACGTACCTATGCTAGGAATATTTACTATGGGCTATTTTTTAGTAGTTTTCATGTTTCTTTGAAAAATATCTCATCTATTATGCAGATGATTGAGTTAAAATTATGAAATTTAAATATGCTATGAGCTATGTGTATATTTTTACAAACAGATATGACTAAAGAGTGTGGCAAAATCCAACAGAAGTATTTTTTTAATTTCCTTTTCTGTATTTCGATATTTTACATATATATCCGAAAATAACATTAAAAATTTATGTAATAGTATAAAAAATTATTTAAAAGACAACAAAATTGAAAGTGCATAATAATTACAAGACTTCCGCGACACCATTCAGACAAAGAGCGACAATAGCATTCCCAAGGAGGGTTGACGTCGGGCAGGCGGCCGGTCGTAAAATTTTTGCCAAATCCTTTCAGCAGTACAGAAGATGTACTGCACCGACCCCAAGTGATTGGGAAATGGGCAGGGAGAAGTAGAAGATATTAGTTCACTTTTACTGGTTTCAAGAGTGTATTTGAATTCATAATATAACACAGTTATATTTAAAAGTTATATGTATTTCTATACCTTAGTTTAAACTTTTATCGTGATAAAACACCTGTTATTGGCCAGTTTCAACAACAATATTTACTCTTCAAACACTCTACTGCCCTATCGAAGTGAGACGTATATGGTATATCAAATACAAATTAAGATTGTTTCAAAGGAGATCATAACAAAAAGAGGCTTTTTAAGTCTCCTGCTAGGCTAACCACTTGTACTTTTATTATCTATCGTAGTAAAAAAAAATTGTGACATAATGTGTATAGTTTTTTATATGTAACATATTATACAAAATAAGCAATCACTTAGAAATCTGAAAAAAACCCTAAATTTATTATATACTAGATGGTCGAGCTTTAGGCTTGCATTACCCTTGTAAGGTCGCTTGCACAGGGGACATCACTGAGCCGTAACGAAAGCGATACGTCACCGGACGTCCGTCACTTCCGTATACCAAGCATTCCTATACTTTGGTTATGGTTGAAAGAAACAAAATTATTTGTTTTATCTGAAGTAAATATTAAATTTAGGTGATTATTAATTTAAAAAAATCTTTAATAAATTCTTTTAGTTAATATATTGTTGTCGGGCAATATTTTTAGAGAAAACACGTATGTATTCATTTGTATGTATACGTAGGATATAATATTTTAAACTATTACATCCATTTAAAAAATATTTCAGTATTAGAAAGCTATCTTTAATAATTCTTGAGTATTATTGCTTATTTTTTAATGTGCAAAAATTTACCAAGTATATGCTAAGTAATACTTGAGTAGTCATTAGATGCAATCAAACTTGTTTCTGTTACTGTTCTTGATTGAAACATACAAGCTCGTATAATAAAATCGTAACAAAGCCGAATCTGTACATTGAATATTTTTTGAAAAATCTTATTGAAATAGACTTTATTATCGATAAAGAGGCCGAATCTATAGTTTATAGAATTTTTGTATGTCTGTCTGGCTGTTACCGCATCACGGAAAGACCACTAGAGAGATTTTGATGAAATTTGGTACGATGATAGCTGGTTATCCGGGTCAACATATAGGATACTTTTTACCGCGGGGAAATATCTCATTTTTGAGAAAAAATACAAGAACTGCATTGTAAGAGTATATTAATATGTAAAACCTAAGAATTTGGTTTTTGGTCATGTGAACGCGGGCGGAGCCGCGAGTAATGCTAGTATACCTTAATTTTTATACTAATCTAGGAGGTGGAAATATTTGAGCTTTAAGTATGTAAAGCTATGACATAAAACCGTGTCTTTGGAAATCAAAAGCTTGTCCAGCTAGAATAAAATATAATTAATTTGTACAAAAAAATCTCATTGAAAATGATTCTAGAGTAAAGATTAAACATACATAGTTTTTTTTAAATAACCAATATATAGTACTGATTCTAAAAAAAAATACTTTTGGAGTACTAGCTTTCGTGCGTAACAGTAGCCTATATGTTTTATCCTGGTCACAATCTATCTGCGTATTAAATTTCATCTTTTGTCCAGCTGTTTTAGCGGGAAGGAGTCACAAACATAATTCATATATATATATATATATTTATATATATAGTGAATGGAACTCTATGAGATACTATAATTGCACGTATTTACAGATGTAAGTTATCAGGTTTCACAGAAAAGGACATACGATTTGAAGAATCTAACATGTAAAACAAGTATACGACACAAAACTCGATTGTTTGGTTCCATAAACCCGTTCAGTTACGCTTTCTTGCCATACATGGTATGGTAGTAGTCATATATTTACAGAAAACAATGTTGGCCAAGTTTAAATATATAGCAATAATATTATGACGACAGGTTTGGCTCAGTTTGTAGTGACCCTATTATTGCTGTACCAGCGGTCGCGGGTTCGAGTCCCGCTGGGGGCATTCATTTGTGTGATATTTATAATATGTATGTATTTAAAGTTATTTAAGTGTAGTGTATCAACTATCTGGTATCCATAACAAAGGCCTCATAGCTTACTAAATGGTAAGTAACTAAATGGTAGGCTCCAAATTTTACATCCATTCCACTGCCGATCTATTGGCTCCATCACTAGACCAGTTTGATAGAATCAAATAATTATATTTTTAAATCGATTTTGTATAGTGATTTTTTTTAAATCGATATGGTAACAATTAGAATTACTTTAGAATCGACTTAGCATTCTTCTATCCTGCAGTTTGTATATTATAGTACAAGTACAACTTATAAAAAAAGTAACAAATTCTCTTTGTAAAACAAAAAAAAAAATGAATTTTGTACATAAAAACATACAATGAAGTATATTCATTTTCACATTTTACTTATTTAGTACTGAATCAAAAAAGCATAGAAACTAAACAAAAAGCTCTGGAACTCATTACTTAATGTGGCCTCAAGTGTAATGACTATCGCTGTACACACGGCTTATGCTAGACACCGTGACTAAGTTTTATGCCCTGATTCAGATTTTTTGTAGTGCAACACCATTGCTGCTATTCTTTATACTGTTTTAACTCTACTTGCAATTGTTTTGAAAAACAACGTGATATAATTTATATAATATATCTTTTATTTAATATCCCTATATCAAATATAACTATATTTTATTTAATATTAATATTTCATTTAAGATAACTATATTTTATTTAATATAATTTATAGATTTAATACGGGTTCGATACCTGAGCAAGGGTAAATATGTTAACGGTTATTTAATTATTGTTAAAGATATAGAAATAATATGAAGGATACTAGCGACATACCCTTTTGCTTTGCTTGGGCGCGACTTTAGGTACCTATTAGTTTGTACCTAAAGTCTAGTTTAGTAGTAGTATTCTAGTATAGTTACACACCGTCTAGGTCACTCTTAGTTTAGGTATTTTTATGTATTATTTATTTATATATATCAACAGCTTATTGTACAATAAACAGCACTTTATAAACAAGTCACAGTCTATCTGGGTAAATTTAGTACTCAGAATCACCTAAATTCGTCCAAACGTATCAACGTGAACGGGTAACAAATATACACATATAAATTATTGTCTTCATAATAAGCGTATAATCGTATCCAGTCTTTTTAACGTCCCACTGTTGAGAACGAGCCTCTCTTCAATATGAGAGGAATCAGGCCGTAGTCCACCACGCTGGTCAAGTACGGGTTGGCCGACTTCACATGTTTTTCGAAAACTTGCTAGGTTCTCATATATACACAAGTTTCCTCAATGTATCACCTTCACCACTATGCAAGTGGTAATCATGTTGAAAATGAAAATATTGGATGCGTGAGACCCGGTATTCGAACTTGCTACGCTTGGTTTGCTAAGCAAGCGCGTTACAACTGTGCTAACACTGCCCTAAGCGTATATTTATTATACTCAAGAAATATGTTCAAATATCCATGTGTTAATTTATTTTGTTATTTAAGCTTAGCTTGGTTTTATTATTATATGCGTTTTATGATTACGCATGCCTTTTCAAGACTGTTCTTTACTGGAAGCGTATTGAAAAGAAATTGGGACGCGGCATACATTTTTAACGAACGGAATTCAATTTCGATAAGGCCCGTATCGCACTCACAAACAATGACACCGGCACAGAATTTTTCCAAAGGGAAAAGGAAAAGGGACTGATA